TTCCATATAAGAGTGCTAAGTCCTAGACCCCAAGAGAGAAGAGAGGGAACATTGGCACATCTGTTTCAATGGTTATTTTTGAACATGCCCAAAGTTAGGTTTTCAAATTCGGGTTTCCTTAGTTAAAATCCTGGCGCAGGGCAAAAGCCAGTTGCAAAGTCAAAGTACATTTTTTTAGAATTAGCCCTGTTGCAGAGTGGGAAGCCTCCTTGCCTTTCTTGCTTGCAGGCCTGCCCTGCCCTTTCCTATCCCTGGGGGAATTCTCTCAGCCCAGACCAGGACCTGCAGGGCCAAAGCACAGGTTTGGAAATGGAACTGCCAGAGCATCTGTGGGAGTCAGAGAGGGAGTGGGTCATCCTGGGCGAGGTCTGGGATGCCTATCCCACTGCCATTCACAGTCTTGCCTGCGAAACTCACTGCAAAACTAATCATCTAGGGTAAAAACAGAAAGGAAGTAACTTAAACGAGGCTACAGAACCTGGCAACCCAACAAAACCCTCTGTATTGATACTACCAATGGCTGTCTTCTGGATCCACTTTAGAATTCTTGATAATTCCATCCCCATGCCCCCCACTGTGGGATCACTGGTACCACCACCACCACTACATAGCTGGCAAGTGTCAGAGCCAAAGTTAAAGCCAGGTCTGGCTGTCTCCAGAGCTTCTGACCTTACATACTTTGTTTTATCATATATCCAGAGTAAAACACCTGGCTTTCCTGCTAAAAACACTGGAATGGGGCACATCACAGAACTCCATTTTACTACTGGCCATTTTCATTAAATATAGGCACTCTGATCTCTTAAAAAAAAAAAAAAAAAACAACAACAACAGAAACACGTGAGACCATCAGAAAGAGCAGCAGACAAAATTAGAATTTCTGGCTTCGGTGTGGTCATGTTTCTCCAGTATTACCTCAACGAGCAGGGAGACCGAGTCTATACGCTGAAGAAGCTTGACCCTATGGGACAACAGACTTGCTCAGTGCATCTTGCTCGGTTCTCCCCAGATGACAAATACTCTAGACACCGAATCACCGTCAAGAAACGCTTCAAGGTGCTCATGACCCAGCAACCGCGCCCTGTCCTCTGAGGGTCCCCTAAACTTCATGTCTCTTCTGCTACCCCTCAGAGACTTTCCGAAACCAAGCTCTTCAAACTGTGAGTGTTGAAGCCTTCTTAGCACCCTTGCTCTTTGGAATCCGGTTTCATGGTTGCCCTTGATCATGCTTGTGTAAATCCATCATGGTAGCATCCTCCTTTTGAATCACTGCTAGGTTATTAAAATGATTTGAAAAGCAAAAACAAACAAACAAACAAACAAAAACAACAGAGAAGGATATGCCTTCCCCTCAACCAGCTCCCAGTGGGTGTGTCCACTTTTTCAAAGGGCCCCCAGTGCTCACTTCTCTATAAAGACATCTAACTCAACCCACATAAGAGGGGAGAAAAGACCACTAATACAAATAGAATTTTAGATTTTTCCAGGGAAAAGCCAACTCGACTCCACAGGGGTATTTTACTTTTGCTTTTGTTTTTGTTTTTGTTTTGCCTTCTCTGAAGCCTGTTTTGGATCTGTGGGGAAATGTGTAAGTAAATGGCATCCTGGAAGGATGAAGTAAACATGACCACATCTGAGGGTTGGTAATTTAAGACAGGGCACTGTTTTCCTACAGACAGCATTTCATTTAGCTTTCTAAAAAAATGCTTTTAAACTCATGGTGTAAATTACTTTCTCTAAAAAAGTGACAGTGCTTTTGAGATATGGCTAGAAATATTCCATTCCTATCTCCATGACTATTTCTACCATGTGAAAGGCATTCTCAGATGATTTGGAATCAGTATAAAATTAACATAATAATAACCCATGCAAAATACCTATGTTTAGTAGTATTTTAACGAAACAATAAATGTTTATTGTTTGAAAATGCAAGATTAGAACATTGCTTCTTTTACTGGAAACCACTTAAAAAGATGGTTCTCTCCACTTTAAATTTGAGCTTTGCTGCATTTAGATTAAAAAAAATTGTAATATTAAAAAAATTTTTTGTAATATTAAATTTCAATGCTAAATTTCCCATAAAGTTAAAATGCTACAAAAATCTCTTAATCATAAAATTTAAATGATGAAGGATTATGTCAATAAAGGTACAATTAATAGAACCATATCAGGCCTGAGTAAAAAAGCAATAGTTGTCACATAAAACATCCCCACAAAATATTTGCAAAATGTCAGCATAGTCACTTGGGTATTTTTCAAGTTGTAAGAGGTGGAGACTCAATTCATTTTTACAATAAAATTATTTTGGGAAAGAATGACACATATTTTCTAGAGAAAGGTTCATTAGAAATAAAACTTAAAACTTCTGGGGCATGAGTTATATCCCTGTAATTCTGCAGCAGAAGTCTCTCCCCTCCAAACAGGATGCATCGAGTGTTTAACACATTAATTATCATCCTTCATCAAGCATAAAACTAACAGTCAGGAAATCCAGCTGCAGTGGCACAATTACCAACACTCAGAATACACCCCGCAGCAAAGAAAACAAATGGGTTGCTTTTCATTAACAGAGCTTGGCAAACCTCTCCAAAGACAATGTTTTCTTTCTAGCCAGAGTCCCAAAAGGCATTTCAGGGGCTATTTGCTTAGGTAAATCCAGAGAACAAATAAATTGTGAAAATATTTATTTAAATTTCAAAATATCCATTATCAATATATAGTGCCATTCAGAAGAAAATGACATATATTGAAAATGACTCAATCAAATCAAAATCTTTTAAATACAAGGTATGTTTAAAAAAAATACATTAGTGCAAGAGGTTGCTAAGTCAGGTAATATCTTCATGCCTGGTGGTAATACACAAGGTATTAGTGATTTTCATTTTCATGTTTTGTGACATACAAGATGATATGTAACATGCCTCTATGTGTGCAATAATGAGCTGTGTGATAACAGGATTCTATTATATAGGTTTAGGTCCATATAAAGAAAATAATTAGTGACTAGCTTGTGATTCTAATATAACATCATTGAAAAGTCTAGACGAATAGCATTCTAGAAAAGTAATAACAGCCTAGTTTAGTCGGTTGATTACTGGACACTTAACATTCTTAATATTACTATAATTATATTATACCTCAACAGATATATTATTTCTACTGAGTTTATATTACAATTAAACCACAAACTGTTACTTAAACCATAATTTAAGGAAGACTCTGGGGATGTAAAAGGCAATGGATAGTCATGTGCCCAAAATATTTGTAATTATATCCTGAACCACTGCCATCAAACTTTCACTAAATTCTCTGCCCAGAAATCCTCTAACATAATCAGCTTGATTCTCTCTGCAGGATAAATATCATGGCAACAATTAAAGAGCCATATTTTCCTCAACACAGGAGGCCAGAGCAGCACATAAGGATTCTTCCATGCTTGTGGCACAACTTCAATTTCATATTGTACTTTATATGCAATTAACTCAAACCTGAACTTCCTTTAAATCGTATTTGCAGAAGGTATCATTCCATCTTCCACCTAGCTGATTTGAGTTACGCACAGTTGTCTTTCAAAAGACAAACTCTGAAACTGTATTTATTATAAAATAAAATCTGAGGCACATACACACCCTAAAACCTAAAACTCTACCTTATCAAAGGATAAGTGACGGGATTCTGTTTAGGCCTATGTAAGGAATGTGAAGAGTGAGAGTTGTAATAATTTTAATCACCATGGCTTGGTCAGGATAGCTGCTTCCCAAGGTGCTAAAAGTGGGCAATAAATTATGGGGAAGGAATACAGTCTTACCAACATTGGTGATACTGATGACGTGATAAGAAAGGCTTTGGGTTCACTGGATATAGATCATTTGGCTGGACAAAGGACGATACCTAGGAAATAAAAAGTCCCTCCCCTCAAATGCTTCAGTCCAGCCGACAGAGCAAAAAAGGGGCACATTCTGAATCCGGTTACCATGCCGCATGTCAGCGAGTGCCAATAAATGAGCAAATGACCAGCTGACGGGAGGATTATGAAGAACAAACTTCACTGGCCAGATGTCCTGTCTGGAGTCAGGGCAGGTGCATCTCAAGGTGAGTGAACTGTTGTGGGTTCCTCTTAGGACTTTCATTTAAAGGGCCAGGGTCTTAAAGGTTTCCGTCTTAGTACTTTTATAGATGCAGTGACATTATAAACATCTCAAAATCAGAGAGGTGTTTTAAAGCAAAAAAAAAAAAAAAAAGGTTTTTTAATGTTTTCTCAAGCAAGGCGATGAGTCATTTACAAATTACCTGAAAAATTAGAAGAAAGGTAATTTCAAGGTATTAACAAGTTCTTTCCTGGTCTTTTTTTACCCAAAGATATGACCTGGCAACAAAGTACCTAGCATTCTCTCATTCTCAAAATCCTTTTGGAACCCAAGTCACTTCCTTCTCGACATGCATTCTCCCTCAGCAACCAAAATGATTCCACCTTCAGTTGTAATCCTGAAAATCAGATATTTGCATATAGCCCCTTTGAGTTGAGAAATCACTGAGTTTAATGTTGCTTTTTCGACTGGAAAATATTCTTGTAGTCTTATGGAAAAATCTAATTCTGTATTAGATGATACTCATAGAATAAAATGACATTTGTCAGAAGTAACAGAGGAAAGAAAAATACCTTTTCAAGTGAGCATATTTGAATTTAATAATTAAAAAGTTATGGAGTATACTAGACTTGGACAATCTTCCCTTTAACAACATCAAACAAGTCCTTTAAAGAAATAGGACCAGTCCCCACAATTCACCTTCCAGTAATATGTACCCCAAGATTCCAGCTGTGTTTTTGTATTGCTGTGACGAATACTGATGCAAAAAAAAGACTATACTAGGGGGCGTAGTTCCCTCTTTGACATTGGGAGTCTGTTGCAGTAATGATGATTGCTGCCAGGGACACTCTGTGATGTAAACAAAACATCACTTTTCATAAGATTTTCTAATGGCCTCTCTAGCTTTCATACCTTTAATGTAGTGAATTCATACGGCTGATAACCTTTGAAGCTCTCGTGGATGGCTGCCATAGTGTGAGAAGTTTTCTCCCAAAAATGAAGCAGAGTGGTCTGTAAGGAAAGAGAGTGCAGCTATTAATGTTTCGAATGCCCAGTTCTAGCCACAGGCCCTGGAGAAGGGTGCCCATCTGTGGCTTTCGAGGCCCTCCAAAATAGGACCCCAACTCATCCCTGCAGGCTTGTTTCCCATTATGCCCCTCTTTATACCTTGTATTTCAGCCAAACTCAATGCTTCCCAGTTCCCCCAAATACTGCCTCCCATGGCTAATAATGCTCCACCATTCTTCTCTCTGTTTTCTGTACTTGTCCCATGTGATCCAACCCCCAAAACCCAGGGATCATTACCAATCTACTTTTGTGATCCCTCCGCTGATTCGATTTGTCCCTCTTCAAAACCTCATTGGATTTTGTAGAACTTATTTCACTTAGCACACACACCCTGCTTTCTCCTTGAAGTACAGAAAATATAGTCAGACTGTATGTACTATATCTTATTTCCTTCTGAAACTTTAAGTTCCTTGAGGACAGGGAATTTGGTCTTACTAATTTTTATATTCCCTACAACACCCAGAATTTGGCCTCCTACACTCAGTTGGTGCCCAAAAGCAATGTTGTTGGATATGAGTACTATCCTGAAGGAACTCAGGCTAGAAGGAGACAAAAATTAATAGTTCCTTGAATTATGACAACCTGATGAGTAGGTGACTGATGGTGCCATGGGAAGTAGAGGCTACAACGCAGAGTGAATTCAGAGGAGGCTTTCTGAAGGACGCGATACTCAGACCAGTACGTCAAACAGAGGGGACTATGAAAAGGTACAATGGAGGGGAAAGGCACTCAGGCAGATGGAACCACCTAAGTAAATGCAGGAAAGTGTGAAAGCAGTGTGTGCACAGGAAATAGCTAATATTCAGTCTGAGTAAACTGTAGGTCTACTAGAAGGGAGAGGGGTGGAAAGTAAATTGTGAGCAAGACATTCAGAACTTCATAATGCCCAAACCATAGTTTTAGCTCCAACACTGTCTGTCTGTCCCCCTAAACCTCGTAACATTCTTGGTTCACTATAACCAACAACACTTTGTTACCTGGTACGTTGCTAGCATATGAGACAACAGATTGCATCGGCTTGCTCCAAGAAGATCCACTTTCTGACACACATCCATCTTCAATTTGTCAAAGCTTTTTTTGGCAAGTCGTACTTGTGTTTGTACCTATGAAAGTAAAAGGGAGCTTCTGAACCACTCAGACTCTTAGGTGGTTAAAATTTGCCAGTGAGGGAAGACCCATAGTGGGCTTATCTTTCTCACACAAGAAAACACCTTTGAAAATTCCAGGCAAGCGAGAAGATCCTACAATATCCATTCTTTACCTTCAAAGGACTTCAACAACAGTACTGCATATGATGATTTCACAGCAGATTTGCCATCCTATTTGTCAGTCAAAAGTTAAAATTCCTCTCCTCTCAGAGCATTCACTGAGTAACCACGGTGGTGAGAAGTCTGGAAACATGCACGGTGGCAAAGGAATAACCTTCACCCTGTTGTTTGTTTCCCTATATTTCTTTGAAGCTGACTTCTGGTATATTCTTCACTCAGCTTCACTAATGCTAGCATCTTACATAGCACAGTGCATTTGTTAAAAATAAGAACTCAACACTGACACAATCCTATTAGCTAAACAACAGACATTATTCAGATTTGACTAGATTTCCCATTGATGTCCTTTTTTCTGTTCCAAGATCCAACCGAGGATACCACATAATAAGAGAATTGTGACGCAGCCTAAAAAGCTGATAAACTTTCAAGTTTTTATTACTGAGTAGGTACACAAGCAATTCTCCCTCTATCCCTCAGCCATGTAGTAGTTCAAAATGGAGGTGAGTAAAAAATTCAGAAATGTCAATTCTATACACTTGATAATAAAATGGAAGCTTTTAAGGGGTGCCTGGGTAGCCCAGTTGGTTAAGCCTCTGACTCTTGATTTCAGTTCAGGTCATGGTCTCAGGGTTGTGGATCAAGCCCCTCTTTGGGCTCCATGCTCAGCGCAGTCTGCTTGTCCCTCTCCCTTCCCTCTGCCCCTCCTTCCACTCATGCTTGTGCATGCTCTCTCTGTAAAATAAATAAATCTTAAAAAATAAAATAGGTTTTAAAAATAATACAGCTACTTTAAAAAGGGTGAGTCAAAATTTCTCCTTCTTCTAATCTGAGGCATCATCACACTATATTTTAACCAGGGAAAGCAAGCCAAATACCACTTTATTTCAGATAATTCATGCAGTTGTAGTTAGTAGGTAGATAACTGGTAAGTAATGGTAAGTAATTACTCTGGGAGTAATGCTGACTCTTTAGTGATAGTTCTTCCATCACAGGATACCAGGAGGCAAGGGTGATATCTATCTTGATCACCATTGCATGTTCAGTACCTGGTGACCTGGTACAAAGCAGGTGCTGAATATATATTTGGTGACTGAATGAAGAAATTTTCTAGGCCATTTCAAAAGGTAAAGTGTCTAAGTACCATTTTAAGGTATAACCTATAAAGTTGTTTTAGAAATGATTTTATTTTTTAATAAAAATAAACACAAAGATCATTGATATAAAACATTAATTTTTACCACTGACAATACTACTTAGAGTCACAGCCTATAAGATTATAGGACATTCTATAATAATAGCAACAATTGATAAAACTGTTACCATTTATAACAATTTAACAATTGAAGCGATTTAATAGTAGCTACAATTCAGAATTAATACAATTGATACAATTGAACAATTAATACAATTCACTTACCACATGCCAGCCATTCTCTTTTAGCCTCTGTTATTACCCTCTCTGACTGCTGAGGGTAAGAGGTTTCATCTGGGGAAGTAACTAAATGAGCATGGCTGCCATTCTAGATTAGCCTGCCTGACTCCAAAGCCACACCATTCTGCCTCTCAAGCAACTTAATATTGGTCACTGGAAAATCAAGAAGTTCGAAATTAGGATTCTACCCAGAAACCCAAGTTTTTCCTGTAGATTATATGGAATTGGAAAACAACGAGCCAATGCATTTAACACCATTTTGATAGAATTAATATCCTATATGAATAGAGTCTTGTATCTGTAACTATATAAAACATTTTCTAAGAATTCTTCTGTATCTTTGGTCTACAGGTCCGGGAAAACCAGAGAAATGGAAGCCATTTAGCTGCTCCCAAACTGACCACACGAAGAGCTTAAATAAATCCGGGAGTTCAATCATTTCCCACTGTAGAGTGGAGAAACTCTAGGCAAAGATGCCTGGGAGCACAGACTATAAAATGAATTTAGAATTAGTTAAAAGTAGTGATTTTCTATCTTCCTTTGAGAGGAATAAGGAGACACAAAAAAGAAAACCCAAGTTCCAGCTTTGCACAGTGGCAGTATCGTAGCCCATGAGTTTATCCAAGGCATGATTATTGCTAATTGAAAACCCAAGTTCCAGAGGGAAGAAATGGGAGGATGTGAAGAGAAAGATGTCTCAAAGCATCTGAGATCCTCACTGCAAGCCCTCACTGGTTCCCCAGTTGCTCAGGCCAGGAAAACTTCCTCAATGGGGTCCTGAGAGGCATCTGTCTCCACCCTTTCCTTCTGAAGGAGAAGGAGATTAATATGGGTATGAACTTTCACATATGCATTCATTCAGCACATATTTGGTGAGCGCCTATTATGTGTCAGGACTAGTGCTAGGTACTGGGGCCTCTATAAAGGAATAAGACTTGTAGCAATGGGTCAGTAAATACTTATGAATGAATACGCTTAGGAATAAGGACCCTCTAGTATTTCAGAGAAGACAAATTAGCAACTATATTATAATGCAATGGGAAAAATACAACAATAAAACTAAGAGCGCAGAACAGGGCTTGGTTAATGCTGGGGGTGGTGTAGGGCAGGAACGTAGGTTGATGTCATTAAAGCCCCAAATACTGGCCTCCCGGTATCCCCACCCTTTTCCCTTTAACTTTGTAGGCTCCTCCCACTCTGACTCGGGGCTTGGCATGTGACTTGCTTTGGCCAGTGAGATGTTAACAAATGTGATGAAACTGGAAGCTTGAAAAAAAAATGCTAGCATGTTTCCACTTTCTTGCTTCTCTGAGATGGCCATGAGAATATGCCCAGGCCAACCTGAGAATATGCCTAGGCTGGCCAGCTGGAGGGCTGTGAGAGTCTTGTGCAAGCGAGAGACACAAGGAGGAGAGCCCAGTTGTCCCAACAGATCAGCCTTTGGCCAGTGGACCCGAAGAGATTTGGGGGAGGCCACCCATGATGAGCAGAAGCCCTTCCTGCCCCATAGCTGACCACAGACTCATGAGTGAGCCTAACAGAGACCAGAATTGCCCTGCTAACCCACAGACTTGTGAGCAATAAGAAATGCCTATTGTTTTAAGATACTGAATGTTAGAATTGCTTATTTCACAGCATTATTGTGGCCACAGATAATGGATATAAATGATCAGCAGGTGGACAATAAAGGCTTCTGAGATGAGGGGGGGATATCTGAGCATGAATAGGAGTAAACAATAAATACAAGGTATCCACAAGACTGGCCTGCTAATGGGGAGGTTCAAGATCTTCTCATTAAATGCAAATTAATTTTGGGGGCTGTGGATTTTGCTTTTTCCTTTACGTAGATATTCTTTTATCCTATAAGAAAACTTCAGTTGCTTATAATACAAAGCTCATGCATTAATACCCTTTGAAATGTGCCTTAATTTTTGTTTAAATTCTGTAAAGTAATTTTAGAAACCTAGAAGAAGACTTCAACGTTTGACCCAGTGAGTTCTGAAAGGCCATATGCTTTGTGTGTCAACAATGATTATTAAAATACTTAATGCACTGCTGAGTTTCCAAATGTTGAGTCCTTTCCCTGCCAAACAAGGAGGATGTTACACTGTTGGGCATTTTGAATATGGTAAAGTTCATTTAATATTTTGTGCTCCATGTCTACTCTCTAAAACACATTTCCAGTCTGCAGCCCAAGGACAAAGCACTGAGGACACAGTCAAGCATAGGCCACCATCAAGAGTCCAATTTCAAATGCCTCCAGATGCACTTAAGTGAAAAATGTTTTATTATTCCTTTCAATCCCAGATAAATTATATTCAATTACATCAACATCTTGAGGAGCTCCTGTGGTTCTCAAGGTTCTTTAAAAATATCTTCAGTCAAATAAATGTACCCTTTGTCTATTTCTTAGTTTTATTTCTGTTGCCCTACCTTTCTCTAAGCTCTAGGAAATGATCACGCATATTAAACTCCCTTTAGTGTGAGTCCCGCCTTCCCCAGGCTGCAGAAATTCAGTTTATCAGAAAAGGGAGCAATGTCTTCAGTGCCAAAACTACAGGGCATTCCTCTGTACTTATTTCTCCTAACCTGAAATTCTACCTCTTACAGCCCCAACTTGAATTACATATAGTGAAGTCAAAGCTATTCATCCTCTTATTTCAATCTGACTTCCCCATCCAGTGGGAAAGGTCTTTATATTACTCCATAACCAAATAATCTGAGAGTGGTTTTTAAATTTTTTTTGTGTTTTCTTTCCTTTAAAAACAAAATGAAGCAAAACTACAATCCTACTCTTACATTTTCTTCCAGGAAATGACTCTGCCTTCCACCATCCACCCATCCAATCATTTAGCAAATATTCACTGAGTATCTTCTACATGCTGGTAGTAGTGAGTAAAACAGAGGTGCTCTTTGCCCTCATGGAGCTGACAGTCCAGTGGGCATTTTCGTATCAGTGAGGGCATAATATCAAACCAAACGAAGGAAAGCCCCACTGCCCCACAAGAATGATTTAGCAAAGAATCTGACCAAGAGAATATTCTCCAAGAAAGCGGTGCTCAAATTCTATTCAGAAGGACTGAACATGATTAACTATGCAAGAATACTCCAGCAGAGAGAGGAGCATATGCAAGGGTCCTGGGGTGAGGGCAATAAGGCAGGTCCCTGAAAGCCAGTGTAGCTGAGTTGCTGAAGCAAGCAGAAGGACAGTAGGAGATGAGGCAAGAGAGGTGGGCTGGGGCACATTCTAGAGCACAGTCCTTGGAGGCATATACTTAGGATTTTAGTTTTTAACCTAAAAGCTACAGAAAAACAATGGAGGTCTTTAACCATGGGAGAGACAGAATTTTATTTTCAGTTCGAAAAGTCCACTCATTATAGTATGAGGATGGACTGGAGGAAG